CTGGGTCTTCTCGTGTGGGTGATCACGGCCGACCCGTTCCTGGACTTACTGCGTGCCACGGTTGGTGCCAACTGACTGTTCAACCTCAGTGTGGTGTGGCCTACCCGTACATCGCCGATGCTCTGGACGACTACAGCTACCTGCCCTTCGTGGCACTTATGGTCATCTTTTTTCGTGTTGTCTCTGAAGCTGGTTCCGGAAACGTTAAACAACTCCGCAAAAAAGTGCAGCGCGATTACAAGGAGCGCTACCGCGACCGTCAGTAAGGTTGTGCTGATTTCTGATGACTGAAGAAAAAGTGATCTTTATTTTTTTACTAATAGTCACGTAAAAAAAAGAGTTTATCGTTAGGGTCGAGTGTCCTCCCTGGAGAAGTAGAACACTGGTTTTAGCCAGCCAGACGAGACAGGTGGAATTTTAGTTGGTGGAATTTTACAAAGTAACCTTGTCTGTCTGTCGCTTAAAAAAACATGGTAACATGTAAGTTGGATTGTCGTGGGTGTCTGCAATATTGTGTTAAGCTTTCCGAGCCTTTACAGCGTCGGTTGTGTAGTATACGGTTGTTGTCGCTACATGCATATTTTTCTTGCGACGGCCAGCTAGAAAACAATTTATGTGTCTTCTGTTTAGTCACGATAAAGCAAAAGACTCGTAACTCCAGAATCAGTGAAGTTAATATTGTAAAAATATCACCTAGTATTTTCTTAAAAGACAAAATGATATTATGTAATATCAACTTAGTATTAGTTAAGTATTTATATTTTTCAAAGTTTGAGTAATCTGTTTAAATCCACCAACCAGATGTCGTTAACGTTCGACTAGCTGAAATATTACTAATCAACCTTGAGGGAGATGGAGTCCAGGACAATTATGAGAGTGACGGCAAGGTTGGCGTCGTGTGTTGGCACTGCTGAGCCCATTAATCTAGCGTTACAGGTTGCAGGTTTATTAGACGCACGATGTAGACGAGGCTATCGGTAGAGAACAAGAACAAATACCTTGACTTTGCTCTATCGACATTTAACAACTGCAAGCGTTTGCGGTTTCCTATCTCGATCGGCTTTGTCTGTGTCTGTTAATTCACACCGACTCTGCACGGTTCAGTTAACCGGCTGAACGTTCCAGGATGGACCGTTCCCAAACCGGTTAATCTGGTGGATGGCAAGGAGCGCTTGACAAGAGGACAACAAGGAGGACAACGCTAGAGTAGAAGTTTAGAGGACAGATTTAATTGACTTTAATCTACTTACTTCGGTATTTACCGTTAACAACAACAACATGTTAGCAGCCGCAGCTACGACTCTACCTGGAACGCCGAGCCTGGAACGCCTGATCTGGAACGCCCAAGAATGATGACTACGAAGAGAGCTGAAGTCCTCCTAGGAAGTGGGAACTATTTTCTCTGGGAGTACAACATGCGCATGACCTTGGCAAGGAAGGGGCTTCTGGCGCATGTTCAAGTGGTCAAGCCCGAGAGCGAGATAACCGAGGCGTGGCTTGTGAACGACGCGAAAGCTCTCAGCATTATTGCTCAAGGCGTGGAACGCCAGCATCAGACCAAGATTCGGAACGCCTCGCGTGCCATGGAGGCTTGGGGAACGCTTCGAGAATTTTACAACCGGACGACGCTGCACAATCGTGTTACGATGACACGTCGCCTTCATGAGTTCAAGATGGGGAGTGGAAAGCCTATGGCTACGCATCTGGACGCGTTCGACGAGTTGATTGTTGGTCTTCAGACGCTTGGAGAGCCAATGGACGAGGCACGGCAGCTCGTGATACTACTTAGCAGGCTTCCGGACGAGTATGAGCTTATCGCGTCCATCGTGGAGAACGCTAAAGACGCTTATCGAGGCTAAGGAGAAGTTGCTCAAGGAGTACGAACGCCTCGAGAAGGGGGAGACTACCGCGGAGAAGGCGTTCCAAGCAAACGGGAGCGCTAGGCGTTCCAAGGGCGGCCGAGGGAACGGCCGAAAGGGGAACGGTCCGAGACAGAACGGAACGCTCCAAGGATTGTGCTTCAACTGTGACCAAGTGGGCCACATAAAGCGAGACTGTCCCGTTGGGAACGGTGACAACAATGGTGATGCAGTGTTTGCTGTGCATTGGGTGAGGAACGCTCGGCCGGGTGGCTGATTGACAGTGGTGCGACGTCGCACATGACCCCTCACAAGAAGGACTTTGTCGAGCTCAAGGACCTGGACACTGACATCGAGGTGACGATCGCCGACGGCAAGAAGTTGCGCATCGAAGGAACGGGACCGGTTCAGCTGATGGGTCTGGACGAAAGACGCATTCGTATGGTCGACGTACTGTACATTCCGGGACTCGACAGACGTACTGAACTTCAATCAATCCATACCAAAGTCAAAGCTCAAGAAGTACCCCAAGAGGTGTAGGATAATGCGTCCTAAGACACGTCCTAAAGTGTCCTATTTGTCCTAAATTTTACAGAACAATTTTGGGGATGTGTCCTAAAAAGCGACTAGTCCTTCGTTACAGAATATTATTTTTTATGTCCTCCAGACAGCTCGAACCCAAGGGTTTCAGGTGCACGTTTCTCGGGTACGCCGAGAACGTTAAAGGGTATCGTGTTTACGACTGGAACGCGTCCAAGGTTAAGGTGTCGCGCTCCGTGAAACTGGATGAGCGTGAAATTGGAGGTATACGACACGCTGTTGCCAGCGCCCACAACGGTTGTCCAGGTGGCTAAGAACGGCGATGAAGCTGGCGTTCTAATTGAAGTGGAACGCCTAGCCGTTCCAGACGAACCGATGGAAGAGGTGGAGGAACCTGTCCAAGACGTTGAAATGGACGAGTTGGAACCAGAACAGAGTGGAGCGCTTCAAGCGCTGCCTCCTCCAGTGGAACCAAGAACGGAAGGTTTGGAACTAACAGCGTACCACTCGCCGTCGGAGGCGCTCCCCGAGGAACTCCTGGTATTCCACCCAGATATGGAACGCTCAAGAAGATCGCGAAAGCCTGTGTTTCTACTTGAGAAGGGAACGGCGGATGACGAAGAGCACAAGTCGGACGGAAACGACGGCCCACCAGCTCCGAAGCGTGCCAGGAGCGACGAGAACGGCTTAATCGCCGAGGCAGTCTTAGCGCCTCCTGTCGATGTGGGAGGCGTTCCCGATACCCCTAACGCGTTCCAAGAAGAAGTTGCTAGTGCTAAAGCAAAGGAACGGCGTCAGGGTATGAATGAGAAGGTGCAGACTCGCGCTGGGAGCGGAACGTGGACTATCGTTCCACATGGAACGCCTGCACGTCCTATCGAAAATCGCTGGGTGTTTGTCAAGAAGCGTGACGAGCATGGACAAATTATCCAATACAAGGACGAGCTGAAGAACGCCTTTAAGATGAAGAAACCTGGCGAGGCCAAGGTCATTCTCGGTACGGCGATCAGTTACAATATTCCAAATGGAACGCTCATGATCAAGCAGACAAGATGCATTGACGACGTTGTGGAACGCTTCAATCAGCGTAGCGCCAAGGTGGTGGAAAACCCATGCCCGTCAAATGTGAAGCTATCGACGGCTATGTCGCCGACGATCGAGTTGGAACGCTCCGAGATGGAGTTGGAACGCTTCAAGATGCTGTCGCAGCCGTATCGCTCCTTGCTCGTGTGTCTGGTGTACATGGCTCTGAGCCTGTGCACGAAAGAGGTGCTATGGCCACGACGGATGCACAAGGAAACGGGTCAAGAGCAAGTGGGAGCGATGCAGATTTGGAAGGACGCCATTACACTGGAGAGGAACACTAGATATCACGCAAGGGCCAAGCATGTCGACATCCGTGAGAACGTGGAACGTGGAACGGTCAAGGTCGACTATATCGACACGAAGTTCCAACTGGCCGACATGCTGACGAAGGCACTTGGGATGAAGACCCTGGCGTTCCAGCGCGATGCGACCGGCATTAAGAACAAGGCTACCGTGGAGTAGTGGTGAGTGGGAGTGTTGCAGCTGCACCGGCTCTGCACGGTTAGGCGTGACCGTTGGAGCGGTTACCGAACCGTTCCACTATTGGCTGGAACTTTTTCTGGAATGACATTGGGTAATCACATGTTAGAGCGCTATGATTGGATGAAGGCACATGGCATTAGTGATTACGCCACACTTACGAGAAGACAACAAGAGGAACGCCGCTGAGTAGCGATCCTTAGCGAAGACGAACGCCGTGCAGTAGCGGTGAGTGGGAGTGTTAGTTCACACCGACTCTGCACGGTTCAGTTCACCGGCTGAACGTTCCAGGATGGACCGTTCCCAAACCGGTTAATCTGGTGGATGGCAAGGAGCGCTTGACAAGAGGACAACAAGGAGGACAACGCTAGAGTAGAAGTTTAGAGGACAGATTTAATTGACTTTAATCTACTTACTTCGGCATTTACCGCTTACAACAACAACAGTGTCACAGTGAAATACTAAAGCAAATACTCGTCAGTTTTAAAGCCTGCCATCACTACTGCTTCATTGAAAGCTGACCGAAAGAATTATTTCGTGGGCACTGGTTCACTCAGCAAGGTGGCAAGAAACGTACTTAAGTAAACAAATATCATAAATTTTATCTAGCATCTAATATTTTCATATTTCCAAGTTAATGTTAAATTAATATGTTTTAGTTTTAAGACAATGAGTTTTTATTGGCATTTAATATCTAAAATAGTACTATTACGATTTTAAATATCATATGATATTTGGATCCTTCTTTTTTAGCAGATTACGTGATACAAACAAGCATGACTATTCATAAGTACAACACCTGGTTTATTTAGATGGTGACCAAAGTCAGACGGCTACTAACACCCCGATCCCAGCAAAATGATCGAAGTAAGTTTTCCTGTTTACGAATAGTTTGCCATCCCCGGAAATCCCAGAAGATTAAGAATGAGAGTTAGGTGTCTCCATGGCAGTGTTGTGCTTTGCCAAGAACGATGATTTCAATCATCAATTTTCAGCTTCGGACACATGTCTTTACCGGTTCATTCTCTATGCACTATGACCCTGATGTCATTCTCCTTTGCCATCATCGCGGCGCTGGTCGTCGTGCATGCAGAAGTCACTTACATCAACCATGACGAAGTCAAACCGTTCGCCCAGCCCACACCTACGACTGACTCGGAGAAGGCCGCTGTCAAATACAAGCCGAAACTCTACGTCTCCTACGGCTGTCACCCGTATCCCGCCGTGCAGGCCAATGGATTTGTAAGTGCTGGACTTAAAGGGAGTGGACCGATAGATGGCGAGTGCGAGGGCTCATCTCTGGGCTCTCAAGTGTATTCTCGTTCGATGTGGTACGAGGACAAGTGGGCTATCATGTATGCCTGGTACCTCCCAAAAGGACGAAGCTCCAAGTATCAACGTCGTCATTTCTGGGAAGCCGCTGTTGTCTGGATCGATGATCCTGCTCTCGCCAATTCGACGATTCTCGGTGTGTCATTGAATTATGGCCGACGCCAAAAATCCGAAGTCCCTCTGGAGCTGCAATTCCTTGATGGTTCAAATGTGAAGCTTGAATCATACAGGGGATTTGGAAGACCAAGGCCGAGGCTGCAGTTCACGCAGCTCGAAGGGGAGACCCAGGACCTCATCACGTGGGAACAGCTCACTGATGAAGCACGCGATGGCTTGAGCGATGCCGAATTCAACACCGGACTGTTTTTTAAGAGAACGAGGAGAGAGATGCCACTAAAAGACGGTGTTTTCGAGAAGAGACTGATAGATGCTTATCCGTTTGAATAGTTACAACTATGGGGGTGGGGGCGCTTTATACCGTAGACCCGGTAGCCAAATTCCAATACAAAAACAAACTGAAACCTCTCGAACAGCTCGATGCAGCGCGAGTTTTAGTGTGCCTTTTTCTAACGTTGCTGGCCCTACCGGTAAGTAGGGTTAAATCTTTTATGATGGTAAAAATGTAATCAATGGCGGCTGCGAATCCTACCTACGGCTCGCACGTAAGGGGCCGTTCAACGTGCTCCACTGCAATGCAGCCCACTTTGTGTGTGTGTTTTTAAAGCCAATGTTTGGCTTACTATTCGTTTAATACATTAAACATTATTTTTTGTATAAATGCGGCAAAGGAGGTACCAAGCATTTATGATGGCCCACTTATCCTCGTACCACATCGAACGAGAATACACTTGAGAGCCCAGAGATGAGCCCTCGCACTCGCCATCTATCGGTCCACTCCCTTTAAGTCCAGCACTTACAAATCCATTGGCCTGCACGGCGGGATACGGGTGACAGCCGTAGGAGACGTAGAGCTTCGGCTTGTATTTGACAGCGGCCTTCTCCGAGTCAGTCGTAGGTGTGGGCTGGGCGAACGGTTTGACTTCGTCATGGTTGATGTAAGTGACTTCTGCATGCACGACGACCAGCGCCGCGATGATGGCAAAGGAGAATGACATCAGGGTCATAGTGCATAGAGAATGAACCGGTAAAGACATGTGTCGGAAGCTGAAAATTGATGATTGAATTCATCGCTCATCGCAAAAGTCCGTAAACAGGAAAACTTACCCGATTATTTTGCTGGGATCGGGGTGTTAGTAATGGGCCCCATCCGCCTGACTTTGGTCGCCATCTAATTACTGTACATGTAGACCAGGTGAGCTTTTTGTTTGCGTTTTTTTGTGCTGAATCACGCTTGTATCACGTACTTCGCTAAAACGAGTATGTGATTACAGTCTGTAGCTTTATCGTGACTAAACAGAAGACACCACAAATAGTTTTTAAGCTGGCCGTCGCAAGAAAAATATGCATGTAGCGAAAACGACTTATACTACACAACTGACGCTGTAAAGACTGATGAGCGATAGAATTGCCTTGGAAAGCTCAGCACAAGATTTGCAGACAACTAGGACAATTCAACTTACTGTACTTGTACGCTGTTACTGCACCATGGTTTTTTTAGCGATTTGTAAAATTATGGGATTTGTTCGATTTTAGCAGCATTTATAAATATTACCAGAACAGGGCTCACCTCAGGATGTATATCAATAGGGTACAGACAACGACGGTGAAATCCGCCCGGTGTCTGAACACTATCCTTCATATAAATTAAAAAAATTACGCGCGATAAGAATACCCGCCCAGTTATTTGATTGGTTGAAAGTTGCAGTTTCAGGAGCACAAAATACAAAAACGATTCCAAAATGTACAGAGCCGATGCAGGAATTAACACATCCTGGGTTGATTGTACAAAAACGCCAAATACGCGGATTGGCTGAAACTGGTTTCATTAGTGGGAAAACCATGTTTGGACTCGGGCGTGTTTCAAAGAATATGATTGAATAAAATACAAGGTGAACGTATTTGGATACACGCATCTCGAAAACGTCCACACCCAACGAGGATGGCAGCGCTCGGAACTCTAAGCAAACTCGATCTCCTCTCTCGCTATGGACATGAAGGTCATAAGATGCTAATTCACCTCTCCAATTTGGAACTTGTTGGGCCGTTCATTAGAGACTACACTTTCAACATGAATAAAAGTATAAAGCACAACAAGGAAGGCGGGAATCATAATAAGTGACTGTGTTCTAAACATGGAAGCGGATGGCCGTGGTTTATTTTGCTATCTAGTAAACGAGAATCAACTGTCGCAGATGGCACTGACAATCGAAAAACCCCAAAGACGAAGCTATCATGATAGCTCGTGGTACATCTCGAAGTTGGACCTACAACACTCCCAGTTTTGTAGTAGTGCTGCAATAACGACAAGCGAATACTTAAAGGAGCAAGCTGGTTTTAGCGCAGCCTTAGTGGATGGACATATCACTTCAATGGCGCCTGTCGTCAATAACATAAAGGCATTTCATGGATTCGATATACAGCAGTAACCAGCACTTGTTTATTGTTCAATTTAAAAGGATAAGAAAAAGAAATAATTGATCGTTTGCCTAGCTTCTTGAAGGATTTTTCAGGAAAAATCTAATCATTCCGCGTCTGATGCCAAGTAGATTCGAAAGGGGGGTTATTTCGTGCGTTTGTAGCTATCGGTACTGTTGTTCGAGCTCAAGACAGCGTTTCACCGGTGTGGGTGTGACGGGGTCACACAGCACCTTGCGCAAGAGGAAGTTATCTTCCGAGAGTATACAAACTCTCAGTGAACGGCAGTTCACAGGTCCCCTCTTTTATTAAAGAGAGCGAAGTGACCTAAATAAGGTAGATTGTAAACTGAGTATATTTATAGGTAGGATAAGCTCGGGTTTAATACAAACTATTAGTTACCTATAGAAATGCAATGTCATTTAACCAATGGTTGGCTTTGAACGACTTTGGTACCTTGTACTAAATATCCCGGAGTATGACGTGTCATACTCCTGAAGTGTGAAGTGTCACACTTCATGTAGCCAGGGTACACTTAGGGCTACGTACCCCGTTACATCCTCCTCCACTTAGGTCCGGTTTACCGACCAATCAGAATGAAGAGGTGTTCGTCACAAACTCTCATTCTCAAAGTCGAAATCCATCGACTTGGCCGCGCGAGCGCGGCGGAGGCTCACTTCACAGTTAGAGCTTTGAGCAGCAACCTGTGCGCTCTTCGTCTAGGTCTCCAATTCGACCGTTAACATGCCTCGTGGCACTACTAAGAGCGGTGCTAAGACACGCTCCAAGGCTGGAGCCGGTAAGGCGCAGGCCAAGAGCACTAAGCCTCACGGCAAAGGCTCTGCACTCAAGGAGGCTACTCAGGTCGGTTCCTCGGGTGACGCGGCTGCGGACAAGCGCGCAAGCAGGCGCCGCAGTCCGTCGCCCTCGTCTTCAGACAACCGTCCGAACCCTCGGTTCGTAGAACGCGAGTTCAACTCGGGCAGTGAAGACGATGCCGAGTCCGAGAGCACTCAGGATGCTCCTGCGGGCTCTGTGGGAGGGCACAGCCCATTGCCCAGTGAGCACAAAGATGACAGCGTGCAGTCGCCCGCTAGTGATCACGGTGATCACAGTCCCAGGACCTCTGTGCACTCTGAGAGTCCGGCCGTTAAGGCTAAGGGCGCTCCCAAAGCCGGTGGAAGAGAATCCTCGCAAACGTCTCTCGCTTGCCGAGGGTCTTGCGCGCGCTAAGGCCTCTAAAGCCGAAGGCGCCAAGCCCTCAAAGAAGCGTACCGCCTCTAAGTCTCCACTCCGCGAGGAGAAGGAGACTCGACGCTCCTATCAGAGTCTCTTCGGCTCCTCGGATGAAGAGAAGGAGAAGGAGGAAGAAGAGGAAGAGGAGGGTTCCATTGTTGAGCCCCGGAAGGTCTCGAATGACCTCGACCAGCAGCAGGAGGATTTCCAAGCTGCCCAGCGTGTGCGTGGGGGTTCGGTGGCGGCACCCGTCAGCAAGGGAGCTGCCATCAACTCAAGAGGGTATTGGCCTCCCGAGGAGATCTCTGGGGCTGACCTCTTCTTACAGCTTCTCGTCGCTCCTCGTGGCCTTGTGGGTGGCCATACTTCTAGGGGCATCTATGAACGAGCCCTTGTTCAGAAAGAACAGTTGTTCGTCGACAACTTGGAGGCTGCTCGGTGTGTGCTTCTCGCGCAACACCGCATTCCCCTTAAGGACTTCACGACTTGTCGTAAGAAGCCCGAGACCCGGGGTGGTCTCTATCCTCTTTGGGGATACCCCTGGGTTATGTTCGAGAACTGTCCCACCTGGAGCTGCTGTGAGGACATGCTTTGGGCATAGGTGGAGTCTCTTAAGTACTCACCCACGGAGTTACGGGAACTCCATGAAGATCAGCAGCTGTCCCACATCCTGGACCAGCGTGATCTTCGTGTGAGGTTTGCCCACTTGATCAGCAAGCGTATGCTGCCAAGGGACATCCTGAAGCGCGCGGCTTCTAGCGCTCACGATGAGCGCGGGTACGGTATGTATTCATCGACCGTACCCCGTTCGGGCAAGAAGCCCCGGGCTACTTATGAAGCTGCCGCCGCTTCTGTTCCCAGATTGCGACAGCCTTCAAGCAGTCAAACAGGAGCCGTTCAATCGGCTCCCACGAGTTCTCGGAGTGGGCATAACCCCTCCACTTCACGAGGAGCTGTCGCTTGCCGCGACACCGTTGCTCCTGGAGGATCCGCTCCACGTGGAAGTGGGCTTCTCCATTCCGGTCAAGCAGGGGCGGAGGTGCCCTCGTACGAGTACGAGTACTCGGCGCCTCCCGAGAGCCACTCTCGTCCGAGTGCTCCGACTGCGGGTCCGACACAGGACCCTGAGGTTGACCGCCTCCGTCAACGTGTCCTCGTGCTTGAGATTGCACTTGGCCTTGGGACTGGCGGTAATGCTGCCGCCCAGGCCGGGAATCAGGGCGAGCTCGCTCGTCTTGCGGGCCGCCTGGACCTGGTGGAGCGAGAGGTCGCGAGCCTGCACCTGCGAATGGATCGCCGGGCCTCTTCGTCCGATCTGGACGAGGCCTTTCGCATGATCCGACGGATCGAGGCTTTGCTGCCACGTCCGGAGCCGCCTGCGGCACACTCCCAGACGTACGCGTATGGTGCGTACCCGGCGTACTCAGCGTACTCGGCGTATGGCGCCGGGGTCCGTTCGTATGGAGCCCCTCCGGCGTACGGTCTTGACCGCAGCCTTGCCGTCCCGACCGAGACTTGGGTGCCTGCTCCGACGCCCTCGTCGACGACTGTGACCGGCCCTCGCTTCGAGGAGCTGGGTCAAGGGGGATCTGCGAGTCAGAAACCCCCTGCGGGTCAAAGTACCGCTTAAGACGTCCGACATAGAACGTCGGGTGCGTCGTCATTGACTTTGGAAG